CACACACCTGTCACACCGCTGATCCTCCTCCTCCTCTGCTCACACCTGTCTCGCTGCTCCTCCTCCACGAGTATCCATCTCTCCTACACTGCGATCATTCATGTTACTTTCTTCGTATCTCACTCAGACACTGCTAAAGTTATCTGACTACTAGCTGCCCGGGCGCCTGCCTGTCTACAAATCGCTTTTGGTGAAAATTTGACTTTACTTTGTTGTTCTTTTGATCAAACGAAATCAAAGAGGTCCAGAGAAAGGGGTTTAGGGGTCCAAACTTGGAGCGCAGTCTGCCATTTGGGGACCCTTGAACTAGTGTATTTATAAAAATAGAAAAAAAGGAAGGAAGATTGCGAGGCCCCTGTGTGGTGCGAGGCCCTGTGCGACGGCACAGGTCGCACAGCCCTTCCGACGGGCCTGGTTTGAGCATTTGGGAAAGTGGTTGGAGCAAACCCCATTTTAACTATTATTATTATTATGTGTTACCTAAAATCAATGTAATTGAATGTTTGTTACTTTGCTGTGCTCTTTCGGTAAAACATCCAACTGAGAATATTGATATTTGCCTTTGTATCGTGAAAAACTGTGCCGAATGTGAAGCTGTATGAATACTTTTGCAAGGACACTTATGCATGGATTTCCTGTCATTGGAAAAACTTTTCAAAATCGCCAACAGAAATCATTCTAAGTAAAAGAATCCAAATGCAACAAACCGCAATCAAATTAATTGACATGTTAGAAGTTATCTGCACACAATGTCTGAATGCGACTTTATTTTGAATCTCTCTCTCGCACACGTCGGCCTTTTTGTTCCAAAGACGACACTTATCTGAAAGTGGGTAAACATACCATCTCCTCCAAACATCTGCAGACAATAAAGACATTTCTCACGCTGCTATTTGCTTATGTTTCCGCGACAACTGCTCAAATTTGGCAAAAAAAAACAACCTTTTTCAGTCGATAAAGAGTTCGGGTGACTCATAGTTTGCCGAGCATGAAAAACAACAACAAACCAAAATTATTTAAGCCAATATTAAACGGATTACAGGCCGCCTGAGATGAAATTGTTATACACAAACCTCATGGGGTTTTCCTGTTTTATTGTTTTTCTTGTATTTTCTCATACATTTAATCTTCATCCTGGCTAACCCTAATTTAATCCTTGTTCTTAGCTTCATACCACTGTGCTTTTTACCGTTTCATTTCCTCTAGGCCCGGAAGAGTCTTTGCTCACATTTCTAAATCCATTTCCGAATTTCAATAGAACATACAAAACCCTCATTTCTTTTTTCTTTTTTTCAACTTTAACTGTTTATTGAACATTTTGAACATAAGACAGACGTTGTTGGGACAAATACAAATACAGTGTCAACCCCCACCCACCCTGACCCCCCACAGGCCAAAAATAAAATGTAAATTAAATAAAATGAAATCTAAATATATATATAAAAAAATAATAATAATAACTAGAAACTTGCAATGGCTGAAGCCATTGCGATTGACTGCGGAACAGATCTAATGTGGAAATCTGCTAAAAAAAATCCTTGAAATCCTTTAAAAGGCCTTGAAACTGTTAAAATACTTGATAGATATTTGAAACTCCTGAAGTCCTTGAAATTGTTGAAACCTTTAAACTCCTGAAATCCTTGAAACTGTTGAAACATTGAAACTCCTGAAATCCTTGAAACTTTTTTTAAACCTGGAAACTGTTGAAAGTGTGGAAACTCCTGAAATCCTTGAACCTCCTGATATCCTTGAAAATGGTTAAATTCTTAAACAGTTGAAATCCTTGAAACTACTGAATGTATTGAAAGTGTCCTTGAAACTGAAAAATCCCCTCACCGCTGAAACAATTTGGTTCCTGTAACTAAGGAAACCTGGTCTGTGGTCATTATCTGGTGGTGGTCTGAGTCTTCGTTTGGGTCTTGGTCTGGTGGTATAATGCAACCTATTAGGTTGCATTATACTGGTTTACATGGAAAAATCCCTATTAGGTTGCATTATACTGGTTTACATGGAAAAATCCCTATTAGGTTGCATTATACTGGTTTACATGGAAAAATCCCTATTAAGTTGCATTATACTGGTTTACATGGAAAATTCTCTATTAAGTTGCATTATACTGGTTTACATGGAAAAATCCCTATTAGGTTGCATTATACTGGTTTACATGTACAAATCCCTATTAAGTTGCTTTATACTGGTTTACATGTAAAAACCCCTATTAGGTTACATTATAGTGGTTTACATGTAAAAATCCTTATTAAGTTGCATTATACTGGTTTACATGTAAAAACCCCTATTAAGTTCCATTATACTGGTTTACATGTAAAAACCCCTATTAAGTTCCATTATACTGGTTTACATGTAAAAACCCTATTAAGTTGCATTATACTGGTTTACATGGAAAAATCCCTATTAAGTTGCATAATACTGGTTTACATGGAAAAATCCCCATTAAGTTGCATTATACTGGTTTACATGAAAAAACCCTATTAAGTTGCATTATACTGGTTTACAAGGAAAAATCCCATTAAGTTGCATTATACTGGTTTACATGGAAAAATCCCTATTAAGTTGCATTATACTGGTTTACATGGAAAAATCCCTATTAAGTTGCATATACTGGTTTACATGGAAAAATCCCCATTAAGTTGCATTATACTGGTTTACATGTAAAAAACCCTATTAAGTTGCATTATACTGGTTTACATGGAAAAATCCCTATTAAGTTGCATTATACTGGTTTACATGGAAAAAACCCTATTAAGTTGCATTATACTGGTTTACATGGAAAACCCTATTAAGTTGCATTATGGTTTACATGTAAAAACCCCTATTAAGTTGCATTATACTGGTTTACATGGAAAAATCCCCATTAAGTTGCATTATACTGGTTTACATGAAAAAAAACCCTATTAAGTTGCATTATACTGGTTTACATGAAAAAAACCCTATTAAGTTGCATTATACTGGTTTACATGGAAAAATCCCTATTAAGTTGCATTATACTGGTTTACATGGAAAAATCCCCTATTAGGTTGCATGATTACACTGAAGTCCTTGAAACTGCTGAAGTCCTTGAAACTGCTGAAGTCCTTGAAACTGCTGAAGTCCTTGAAACTGTTGAAGTCCTTGAAACTCTTGAAATCTTGAAACTGCTGAAATCCTTGAAACTGTTGAATCCTTGAAACTGTTGAATCATTGAAACTGTAGAAATGTCTGAAAGAGCTGAAGTCCTATTAAAATGCATGGGCCTATTAAAATGCATTGCAGAATTCTCAATGCAGATTTTTGTCCGATTGCGGAAAAACCGGAAATCGCTGAAGTCCCAAAAGTAATAGCAATAATCTCCCAAACATGTGGAACGTTTTGATGTATAACTTGTGGAAATTGTTGAAAATGTGAAAGCTGTGAAACGTGTCAAAAAAAATGACGGAATAAAGAAATACAAAACCAATGGTTGACTGCGGAAGGTTCCGCAGTCAATCAATAATAATAAAGAAGGTGTAAAGAGAAAGAACAGAGAAGAATAAACATGAAATGCAAGTGTAGATAGATAAGTATAGATAGTGTTAGATATTATCTTCAGGGTCAAGAAGATTCAAAGTCAAAATACCTAAGAAAAAGGTCCCATGTAGCATGAAATAATCTGATGGAGCCTCTTTTCTACTTTGAGGTTGTAAAGCACCTCTCGTATCCAGCGGGCATGTGAAGGGGGGTGAGAATCTTTCCAGTTCAGTAAGCTAACGAGCTAACAGTGTGGTAAATGCTACAGCCCGCTTCATTCCTTTGGGCAGGTTGGAAGCAGAGGGGATGCCAAAGATTGCTGACATTGGATTGGAAACCAAAACCCTCCTTTATAATTTACACATAAAATAGAAACAAAATTATCTGTACTTCAGTGTTTGAAGGTTTTTCTGTATAGAATATTTGCATGATCATTTACTGAAAGTTTTTGTGCTTTTGTGTGCAACATTTGTGTTGAAATGTCGGAACAAAGAAAACCCCTGTTATTGGCTCTATTCTGTACATGTGTTTGCATTATTTTAAACTTACTTATTAATAATTTGTAAGATATTAAAAAAAACAATTACGTAATGCCATTTTCTTTCCCTTAATCCATTTCTGGGTCAGGGGGTCGGCAATCAGAGCTGTACCCAGGTCTCAAAGCACCGGCCCCTGTGATCCTCCTGCAGGTGGTGGGCCTTGGTCTTTCGGCGGGGGCATCAGGCAAAGCGGGGTTAAGTGTCTTGCCCAGGGACACAACAACAGCAGTCATCAAGGGGACATGGGTCGGGTGGAGAATCGAACCCACCACCATTAAGTCCAAAAATCAATGCCACTGTCGCCCCGATGAAAACAATTATTAACAAAAAATACCTGTACGTGAACTTGGACAAAGTAAAAAGCTTATAATAATCCAGCGCCCTTAAAGTCTTGAAATCGCCCATGGCCCTTCCGTCTTCAAACCACTAAATAGTCGCTTTAATAGTCTTTTTTCAGAGAATGAATGAATAATTTTATTTCAAGCATGAGCATGACACAATAACAAAACTTAAATTCCTACACGTTACAGTAAACAATATATATATTAACACAGATTACATTATTTTCTTCTTAACAATGAAGTAATGCTCTTTGCTTGAAGGGAGTGAGAAGAAGTGAAATACTTGTTTACTACCACCCCCAACTACAAAATAAAACTAAATACTGTCCTGTACAACAAAAAAAGTACAGGACATTTTACTCTATTATACAGATAAGTGCCTCAACACACATACACATACACACATATATATAAGTACACATCCATATATACATATAATATACATGCACACACACACACATCCATATACCTGTACACAGACATATACAATACACACACATATAATCCTTTTATAAAACGATAAAATACACTTACATTCTCTTTGTAGGAACATAACACTATTTAGAGCGTTTCATCTGATTTGTATCTTGTTAACATAATTTCTTTGTATTTAGATTTAAATTTCCAGAGTACTGTCCCCCAAACCATTCCAGAGCCGGACCCCACATACCGACACACACACTCTTCTGGACCCCACATACGACACACATGTACTCTTCTGGACCCCACATACGACACACACGTACTCTTCTGGACCCCACAAACGACACACACGTACTCTTCTGGACCCCACATACGACACACATGTACTCTTCTGGACCCCACAAACGACACACACGTACTCTTCTGGACCCCACATACCGACACACACGTACTCTTCTGGACCCCACATACCGACACACACGTACTCTTCTGGACCCCACATACCGACACACACGTACTCTTCTGGACCCCACATACGACACACATGTACTCTTCTGGACCCCACATACGACACACACGTACTCTTCTGGACCCCACATACCGACACACTTACTCTTCTGGACCCCACATACCGACACACACGTACTCTTCTGGACCCCACATACCGACACACACGTACTCTTCTGGACCCCACATACCGACACCCACGTACTATTCTGGACCCCACATACCGACACCCACGTACTCTTCTGGACCCCACATACCGACACACACATACTCTTCTGGACCCCACATACCGACACACACGTACTGTTCTGGACCCCACATACCGACACACACGTACTCTTCCGGACCCCACATACCGACACACACGTACTCTTCCGTGTCGTTCTCTCGGCTGGAACTTTAAAGATATTAGAACCCCTTAAATTGTGTTTTCCCTGTCTCATTTGAAAAAGTAATTTATTTATTTTTGGGCAATTTATTTTGACTTGCTTTGTACAATACTGTGCTGTATAAAACTCAACCAGGTCATAGAATTTTAACTGGGCCGCAGCAATTTTTTTTTTCCAGAGCGATTGTTGAGAAGTATTGTAATTGTTACCCCAGAAGTACATCAAAGAATCTAAATAGGCACTCGGGCTGATGCTTCAAATTTAGATACATATAACTTGTAATGCAAAAACCTATGTTGTGATTTCATTCCAGGTGCTCTAACTTAATTGTGGAAAGTCTGTCATTCCAACACATATTGCATTCTTTAAATAACTATAAATCATATTATCGAAATGTTATCATCCAGACATGCGGGATATAAAAATAAATAAGTGGGACCCTCCTGAACCGGCACCAAAACCGCTGAATCACCAAAAAAAAACATTACCGTCCAAACAGAATTATCTCTGTCCTCGTTGCTATAGCGTCTGCTGCATGTTGTTGCCGTTTGTGATTGATATTCCGACGCCGGTTTAAGCTGATAATTCTTGTAACACATTCACAAAAAGGCTCTCTCCTCCAGGGGCAAGAACATGTTGCGAATAAGGGTAGAGATATTTTATGTTAAAAACGTATTTCGCAGGAGTGTTAATCTTACAAATAGTGGAGGAGTCCCAAGGTTACACTGACAGATGAGAGAAACCGGCAAAGAGTACAGAACAACGGGACTATTCAGGTAAATTACGGCCCGCACGTAAAAGAGGATTTATACTGTTTACTATGTATCTTGTGTTTCCGCTGTAAAATGGAGCCTCCACTCTTATCACATGGGCCACTAAACCTTATGGAGTGATTGGAAGCTGCCCACGGCTTTTACAGGGCCAAATATGGGCCGATCAGTCATGTGGCTCCGTGCGCTATTCCCTGGTTGTTTGTTTAATTAAAGGCAAACTTGTGTATTTGCATTTCATTACAGATTAGGGAAAAATAGACTGTTTTTGTACTTGTTGAATTCACAATTGATACCACCAGGCTAAGATTAGGTGTAAAGAAAGTAACATTTAAAACCAAGATGTAGAAATGGTAACTAAAATCATAATTTATTCCGATGGCCAAAATAGGCAAAAGGGGACATCTGGATAGGAATAGGATATTTACAAAATACACAGTGTAAATAAATAACCTATAGAACTAGCAAGCAATTAACAGAACCAAAAGTGCAAGCTAAACCATGTTAGCATTGTGACATGTATCATTATAATATTATTACTGTTATTTTTTTGAATGCATACTTGTGATGATCAACTGAACATTAATATTTATTTTGAGGCTTTTGTTATGTACTTATATATAGAATTGTCTTTGAGCATCTTGTTTTGGTTATTTTTTGTAACTAGCCATGTACGAAATGAATATGAATGAAATTAAACCTTGTAAGCCTTCAAAAAATCTACCAAAAAAAGTGTTTGTTGCAGATACCTTAGAATTAGCCTGGCCTTAGCCATCCATACACTCCGATCAATCATCATTTCACTGAATGTAACGTCTGGGTCTGGTCCCCATGTTAGCGATTAAAATCAATTGAATTTCGTCTGACCAATCACAGCGCGGGAGGCGGGTGGTGTTTAGATGTGTCTGAGTCATGTCAGTTCGCATTAATTGAGTCTAAATCACAATCTGGTTTGGATTCATTTGTTGAATACAAGAAATAAATCCACTCCTGTAGTTTATATACTGTAGGAAGATGTCAGTCTCGCAGGTTCCAGACCAGGTCAAACTGACAGGAACAGTAGAATCTCCCATCCTTCTCATCTCCGCATGAGTCTTGTCTGAAGTCCACGGCCCAGCGCCTGTCCATCCTGTGTGTCTGTAACGATGGATTCGCCGCCGATTGATACTCGGGGAGGATTTTTCTCCTGTTTCTGAGGCCTCGGCACTTTCCCACAGCGCGACGCCGTGTGCACCTGAGCCGCCTCCTGCCGACACCGGCTCAATTAGCCCATGATGTGTGGATGTGAGCGAAGACCCGTAAGCACGAGTCAGACCACAGCAGAGCAGGGTTGGCGGCTCGACAAGATGATTTTCTGCTTAGCGCGGCGTGGAGCTTGACTCAGAATGGATGGATTAAGGTTTAAAGGTAACTACAGGAGAGTAAAGAAGGCATTTTTGGCTTCTCTTGGTCCCCATCTATGCCAACCAAAGCAGAACACGGTCTCAACTGAAGATTTTGATTTCCTACTCCCAACCTTTTTAGTGCCACGGACCGGTTTGATGTCAGATAACTGCGCAGACCTGCATCCAAACACAAACACCCCACGTCTGAAGGGCAGATTTTGGACCTGGCAACACATGATGCTGAATAATGATTGAATAAAAACTTTAACCAAAAAACACCAGTCCTCCAAAACTCGACCTGGAGCTGGAAGATGCACAACCAACGTGAGAAAACAATCGATCAATCATGTATTTGTATAGCACAATTTGTGTACAAGGCAATTCAAAGTGCTTCACAATAAAAAAAATAAATAAATAAATAAAAAACAGATCAAAATGCATTAAAGTCAATAAATATAGTTGTTTAATATCAAGATGGGGTTTAAAACACATAAAAAATTTGTTTAAAAAAAGGCCAACAGAAGTAATAAGTAGTACGAAAACAAGGAGATTAGACTATGGGGGATAATTAAATACATAATTGTGGAAAAATAAATATCTAAATGTATGTATACCTGTTCCTGATCATGTTTAAGCTATCAGAAAGGCCTTGAGGGTGTGCCACTGTCCGGACTGCAAATGGAGTTGGCAATCAATGGATATTTATATTTTTCTAAAGCAGAGTATTTTTAACTATTGTGTCGTTGGACGTGAGTGTTGTTTTGTGTGTCTCTGGATAATAATCTATTATCACCAGATTGTGTCAAAATGATGCGACAAGAAAATGATGGGAGAACATTAGACTTTTTGTGCTTGTTTGATTTTCTTCATAAAAACCACTTTGAGAATGTATTTTTGGTGTTAAAAAAGGCTGCAGATTGATGGTGCTTTGTGAGAAAACTTGTCTAGTTCCATAACCATTCAAATTATTTTTTATTTAGTCACAAAGTGCTTTATAACTGAACATGTATCTCACTCACTCACAGCAATGGGAGCAGGTCGCCTACAGGGGGCGCATGTCAGACCTATTGTACTGTTTGTAGCGGAGCACCCGGAGGAAACCTACGCAGACACGGGGGGGGGGAACACACAAACTCAACTCAGAAAGGCCCCCTTCCGACCGAGATACAAACCACTGCTAACCACTCAGCCACCCAGCATTGTGACATTTTCTTTGTAAAAGCAGATAAAAGCCATAATGTTTGACCGGTTAGATGCCTCAGTCTTGCTACAGTAGAGTTCCGTTCGGGCCTGAAAAATCAAGCCCGACCCGGCCCGAGCCCGCTAATATTCAGCCCGAGCCCGTATAAGCCCGACCAATTAACGTTGTATAATAGGCCCGAGCCCGACAGAACCCGACACATCTGATTACCTTTGTTGCACGGACTCACCTTCCAATCGCAAGTTTAGCCACTTCTGAATGTGTTTTGTACGTCCACCTGATCCATTTCTGTCAATGTTCCGTGTGTTCGCTGTTGACCGTAGCATTCAAAAGGAAAAACAGGGATGATGCGTTCACGACCTGCTGCGGCTGTAGGACACACCGGTTACGGTGTTTTTAATATATTAACTTTTTTAATCACTTGTTGTCAATCAACGGATATTATGATTAATAAATATATACATGCCAGTGTTTCCGCCAGGAATTTTTGTGAGGGGGGGACCGCGAGGGGGAGGGGGAATGTCGAGGTCCGATGCCCCATAAAAAAATGTCACGTACGTTTATTGCAATTTTTGTTAATACTTTTCACGAGGAGTTAGTGGACATGTGTGCCTTTAATATGAGCGGCCTTTGTGGGAATGGTTATATTCAAAGAATTAGAGTAAAATGAGTTTGTAAAACACCTGCGGAGCCGTAGTTCTGAACGGAGCTAGAGCAGAGCCAGAGGTCTTCAGAGATCTGAGAAGTATTTGGTCTGATACTGGCTCACTCAGATTCAGAGGAGGAAGACACGCAGGTGTCCAGTGAAGCAGACACAGATATTGTTAGTGACAGGAGTCCGCGCCATAATAGTCCCCAGTCAACCACAGTTTACGTCCTCCGTGGGGCCACCGCGGTAAAGTGGTCCGGCTTTTCGGAGTCAGCGGTAAAGAGGTCCGCACATTAAAAGCGGATGGCCGCTTTATGCTGTTAGTGTTACTTAAGGTAACATTGGAAAGAGAAGCCGCGGGGATGAACCGCCACAACCACAATGCACTTTTTAACATCAAGCGGACACCCGCTTTTAATGTGCGGACTTCTTTACCACTGACCCCAAAAAGCCGGGCCTCTTTACCACGGTGTGTGGCTGCAGTGGAAACATTCTGCGAACGCCAGGCAGGGGACGTGGTGTAGGGGACAGGGGGGGTCATAACACCGGGGATGTGGTTGAATGTAGCGGGGATAAACAACTGCGGGGAACGCGGGGGACGCGGCAGAAGCCGCGGGAACAAACACACCGCTAA